GTGAAGATGTTAAGCAGTATTAGTCCCAGTATATACATCTGAGAGACACAGCTCATCACTGGTTTCTATTTTGTCATTGAGTCATTATTTGTAACTCTTTGGACATGACCATGTGACCAATACCTCATTCATTCATTCTAAGATCCGTACCTCAAACCCATACCTCTCCTATTTAGAGGTAAGAAGGTAGTGCAGGACGATATCAAAGGTTTTACAGAACAGCAGGGAGATGACATTCATAGATCTTCCCTTATTTACTGATGCAATCATTCTTTCAGAGAAGGCTACTAGACTAGTTAGGCATGATTTGCCCTTGAAGCCACGTTGTCTGTCTCTAATCACCTCCGTGTCTTCGACATGTTTCAACATAAATTTCTGGAAGATCTGTTCCATGATCTTACCAGGTGAAGGTGGTGTACTGAGTGGTAGGTAGTTCCCAGGGCCCCACCCTCCTTTTTAAAAATTAATGTGCTATTTCCCTTTCTCCAGTAACTGGGGAGTTCACCTGGCTTCCACGACTTTTCAAATATGATGGAGAGCAGCTTGGCACCAAAATATGTCAACTTCCTCAAGGTCCTGGGGTGTATCTCATCAGTTCCTATGTCATAGAAGCCTGCAGGATTTATATAATTTGTGATTTTTCTTATTTTATCCCTTTTTACCTTTCTTTTCATCCCTTTCCTCTATTTTTCCTTTTTACTGTTTTTTTCTCTTTTCATTAGTGCCCTAACAAGCATGGGATCATAGATTTGCAGTTTTTGCAGTTCTTGTAAAAGCATCTGCTTTTCATTATCTGTTGCTATTTCAAGTTATTTCTCCTACTGTGTGTATGTTCTCCTGTGAAGACTGATTTGACTGTTTCTTTTCCATGTTAGATAGTTGATATATTTTGTGACTCAGAGAGATGTACCTGTGACCATATCTACTCTGACTGGTATTGCCTTCCTTTGAATTGGTTTAGTACTGCCTTTCTATTTACTGTCTTTTTTTCATCCTACTGAATTTTCTTCATGGATTAAAGCAACTCATTCTTCGTGACTAGAAGATGAATGTCAAGCACAAGATTTGTCTCAACAAAAGCAGAAGTAACAATGCAAATATCTATGCCTTAGCATATCACCTGCACTCCAAACAGTTATATGTCAAAAAACATGACACTGGTAGAATAAGATTCCTCTTGTCCTAAAGCAAATATCTAAAGTGACTCTAAAATATTATACCCTGCATCAGCCTTTTCTCTCCATTTGTTACAGAGGAAGAAGGTCATGAAAGGCTCAGATGCAGGCAGCTGGATTTGAGAAATCTGAAGTTAGTTGAACGTGAAAACATCTCCAAGTTGGTGGCTGATTTTATCCAAATAAATGAAAAGGAGAAACTGAAGAAAAAGTATTAATACTGATATAACTATTTATCATTGTTAGTAAGAAATTAATTGGCCTTTTTTAGAGAAAAAAGTGCTTTTCTCCCGTTTTTGTTTTCTGTAAATACCCAAAACCATCTTGCTCTCTTTTATGTTTTAATACTACAGCTTACAGAGAAAAGCCTGGTTAAAATTCATACTAAAAAAGGCCCTTCTGATTCTAACATCTTCGACATCTGTGGGAAACAAAAATAAAACACAAAAATTAGACCCTGCTAAACCTGGCTCTGCAGGGAGGATTTTACTAGTGTGTGAATAAATAAAACCATTTGTCCTTATGGACACATGCTGACTGCGCACAGAGGAGGTTGAGGTTGCTTCCCACCCCCACTCAAGATGTTTTTATTACAATAAGGTTATCTGTTTACCATCTTGTTTATGTTTCTTTAAAAGAAAGCCACACATAGGAGGCAGCCTTAAAAAAAAAAAAAAAAAAACAACAAAAAAAAGTCAGGAGAAGCAAATGAGAAAGCAGTATATAAAAAGGACATATACTTATAATGCTCTGATAAATAAGCCACCAGCTGTTCTTACCATATATTTTCTCTGGAAATATTTTATTTCTCAAGGAAAAACCATCAATGCCCCTTTTTCATATTTATAACAGATTTTTCATCCTATGCATGACTTGTATCATCATTTGTTATTAAATTTGCTGACACTTTCTTTTCGAAACACTTATTAGTTATATGTAACTTCATACAAATATAACCATGCATGCCCAGTTTACTTTGTGTTTTTTTTAGTGAAGGGATATTGCGAGTTTATTTTTAATTAAACAAATGGTTTTACTTGCTGTTCCTTTTTATCTCTCCTCAACCCATTCTGGTCAGTCTCCTCTCACTTTCTTAATGATGTGGTTTTAGAGGAAAGCCTTGCCCAAATATCCTATGAGAGATTTTCAGTCTACATATGATCTAACATTTTCAGCTTGTGTAGGAAAACAAGAACACTAAAATGAAAAAGTTGTCTGGGGAAATTTAATTTAACTATTTAAAAATATGGTTTGTTTTTCCCCTGTTTCACCTTTTTGGAAGACAAGGTGTCTCGGTTTGAGAAAATTTGGAGAGGTGGAGACCTCAGACAGAAGTCTCCTCCCTTGAGTTTAATACCCCTAGTTTCTCCAATACAGAGGGAAACCAAAGACACCCAAACATAACTGAAAAAATAACTCTTTACCAAGAAGAATGCTCATAAAAATACTTATAATAATGGGTTAAACCAACCAATGAGGAGAAGCATGCCAAGCCCTGCCCTCTGGACTAAATCCAGATGGTGGCCTGGCCTCCCGCACTCAGAAAAAGAACACACATGGACACAGGACAGAGACAAGATGGTTACCCTTCCATGTCATTCTCCTCCCCCACACCTGGAAACTCTGACAGGAACAGCTGGACAGTCAGTGCTGGAGTGAGGCTGTGGTGCTGGTACAGGCAATCAGAGCAGGGCTGCGGACTCTCCGAGAGAACCCGCAAGACACCCATTGGATCCAGTGATGAGACTTGGTTGTTGAAATTTTGATGTTTGTTGGTCAAAGTGATGGTTGTAGTCCTGTCGTAGTGGTGGTCACAGTCCAGATCCATCAAGGTGGTGGTGGAAGCCATGGGTGGTAAGGAAAGTCCCATGTGGTGAGGGAAAAAAATCTAGTGTTGTGTGAAGTCCAAATGTGGTCTTTTATTGGGCTTAGGCTAAGTGGGAATGACTCCGCTACTACCCCGGGGAAGGGAGTTCTACACTGGATGATGTAATAGCGGATCACGGGACATTTCAGGAATCTTTGACAAGATGTTACAGATGCATGTTACATCAGCACAGGTGGATGCATTATGGTCCATGCTCAGAGATTAATATCTTCAGGCTATGTGTGAATTGTCTTAGTGCTTCCCCAGAGGAGAGTTATCACATTTGAGTCATTTGTGTAAGGATAAAGAAACAACACCCAGCTTGAAGCCTGAGGTGGCAGGCGTGCATGCCCTCAGCATCCCAGTAACTTGGGTGATTATTTTGCACATCGTCACCTTGCACCTGGATTGCCTGAGTCATCAACATTCCAATCTTTCGAACACATCCTTCTCCTAGGGTAATAGTATTATCCTTATCTTAATAAGTTCCTTTCACAGTCCAAATGAGTAGTCAGATTTGGGGAAAAGAGAAAAGAAGAGGTGGATATCAGAATTTTTGTGTAACTTAGGACACAAGGCATAGGCTGCTGGGAAATGACCCAATTTGGATAGGACTTTTGAAAAACTACTTGTGGTACATAGATTGAGCATGGAATCTCATTTTTATCAGCCAAATATTCTTGGACTCTCCAACTCAGTTCTCCACTAAGCATGTCCCTATTTCTCGCATCTTTCCACTAATCTAATAATGTAAACAAAATCTCTGCTAGCATTCAAAATTGTAAGTGGCTATTATATAAAATTTCTGAAAGAGTAGAATTTCTAAAAGCTAGCCAAGAGATAAAATAGGGTTAAGCAGTAACACAAAGTTCATTAACATTAGACACAAAATTCCCCAAACTATCCTGAGTTTAATTTTTTCCCCTCATTTTCTGCCCTTGAAAGGAAAGCACAAAGGAGAAAACACAATAAAAAAACCCCAAAGCCATTTCCCTGACAGCAAGTCATGATAGTGCCTCCTTTGCCATCTATCATGTTTGATTCTCTCAGATTTTGATTCTCTTAGAGAATTCAGTGTTTTTCCTTCCATTTTAGTCTCTTCTCTTCCGATTCTTTTACCATTCTTATCACTGTGGGAAGTACTTTATTTCATTGATTGAACAGAAGTTTCTGTACCTGATCTTACAAAATGGGCTATGTTCTCTCATTCATCAGTTTTAGGATGCATTCTATATAGTTGTATCTATTAATCTCTTTTTCTCTATTTCCTGTTGTAAAGATATAATTTTTTTTTGTGGTTGCCACATTTCTCTGTACAGGTTACAGGCTTTTGCAAGTGCAAGGGGAGTTGTTTGTTTTTCCTAAAGTGCTTTCAGGAAGCTAAAACATTTCAAAATCTGATTCTTTCTGTAGGAAAATTTCTTACTCTTTTACATCTGTAGAGAGAAAACATGATGATTTACATATTTTAGAAAGAAGATGCTTGCTATATAAAGGACAGTTCTTTCATATGTTAAGCAAGATCAGTCAATTTTTATCATATTTTTGGTTCCATAAAATCACAACACTGTCTTTGAGGAATTCTTTGCTAGTGGAGATATAGGAATAACAAGAGCCCCCTCCACAGCTGCTGCTTGTCAATAGCATTGCTGTATCAGCAACATGCTTAAGCAATCTGGGATGACAGGAATGCTATTTCCTTTCTCTCTCCAGGTGGGAGCCACTCCCCACTCTTTCCATGATTAAAGAGAGTGACCCCAATGTCAGCTGTCTGTGATTCAGGAAATATACTACCTTTTTGTAATGACAGTTTTAGGATTCCAGGTTTTAATGCATGAAAGTGGGTGGTTTGGTTTGGTTTGGTTTTTTTGTGATGAGGGTGAGAGGGTGAAGGTGAGAATGGAGACAGAGGAAGGGGGAGCTAGTTTGTGTAACCAGTATGTTCACTTACTTTGTTATTAACAAAGAAGGAGTACATAGAATTGTGCTAGCACAGTTATGAACTGCATTGACAAGGGACTCTTCATGTTCTTTCCACGTCATATCTTGGTGCACATCCCATATAATGTGTGGTTCTGTTCAGTAGTATTCTTTCAAATATAGTTTTATATCTCCTAAATAATAAGAGGTATATCAGGTATAGAATATTCTTACAAAACAAAGAAAAAAACCCAAACCTATATGTCCCAATTGAGTGAAATCATGCTAACTTCATTCTTTTAGCTTACTGGTGACAAGGAAGTTCCATGGGGGGGTTACACAAAGTCACAGGCTGACTCACATTTTACCACAAACATACGGTCTCTGTTCAGTAAAAACTTTCTTCTCAGACCTTGATATGTGGTGAATAACATACAACAAGTTTCATGTCCATACATAGCATCATTTCTATTAATTGTTCCCAAAGAAACTTGTAAAGGTACCAACTATGACTTGGATTTTTTAAAGTGTGCTTGAAATCAGTGTGGGATAGAGCTGCATTATGTTTACTGTAGAAAATAATGCTACTTGCTAATTGTTAGTAGGAAATAAGCAAAGCAGCCTTTCTGAGGATCAAGTGCCCATCCTACACATGATTCTGGGAGGATTACTTCAGAATTATCTAGTTTGGTTGTGTAACCTTAATGCTCACTAACTGTTAAGGACCACAGAGAGATGCCAGTCATCTAACTCGAAATAGACACCTTATGAGTGCATAATCTCCCTCTGATAACCTTCAAAGCACCTGTCCCTTGTTGACTCTAGGATCAAATGCAAGACTATTTGACTATACAAAATGCAGAAACTTTCTTTAGAAGGACTGGTTCACTAGGCTCTTCAAGATAGTTGAAATTCATGTGCAAAAATGCATTGACTGGATTTTGTAACAAAAGTGATGTGAAAAGATCTTGCAGATTAAGTCAGAAATGTAACCTAAAAGCTTTAGTCTACTTCTGTGATTTATAAATTTCATTTCCTAGTTTTGAATTGAAGAAAGTACCGAAAACTGAGGTTACAAAAGACAGAGGAAATGTTAAGTTTGTCTGAACACTAAACTACAGATAGATGCAAAAATATGAGTCAAATACTTGCAAGTGCCAAGTAAAATTTAACAAGTGAACAGAAAACAACACAAAGGATCAGGAAAATAAAATGTTTTCTTACTGACGAAAAAGAGACTTTCTTCTTGAGGAAAAGATGTAAATACTTCATTTTATCCCTCCCAAATTGACCAGCAAACTACATATATTCATGCAGAAAGAGGAAAAAAACCCAACATTGCTTAGATTTCTAATTTTGTAAACACTTAGCTACTAAGATCTCAGAATTTTTTCTTCTGTTTAAGAATAAATCTTTTGAAGTTTAGAAAGAATAAAGCAGGACATTGGATTTGATAAATGTTTCCTAATTAATCTCCTATACAAGACTTCTTGACCATTATTCTGTCATTGATTGCTTTCCCATAACCACAATGTTACAAAACTGGAAGTGTATTTACAACAAGATTTAAAAGGACCTAAACAAAGTGCAACTATTTTTCTAAAGTTGACCTCTGCAAACAAAGATCAAACAAAAAAAAAAATAAACTCAGTTCCTCTACTGTTATCCTTTCATTACAATATCACTGGACTAGGTTCAGGCTTTACTAATTGGTACATACCTGTTATAGGAGTTGGACTAGCAGCCTCAGTCTTGCAGCAGCAGGAGGAAGGGTTGCTATGGAACTAATTACAGCTATCAGCAGTGGTTCTGTTTTAAACGGTGTATGAATTAGGCAGTCTCCTAGAAGCACACACAAGTGAATTTGCCATTAACAATGAACAGCTCTGTGAAATGAATGCAGTATAAATTTACTTAGTCCATTCTGGGATTAGGCAGACAGCTCTACTCTTATTTAGCCTCTGAAGTAAATTTCAGTGAAAAACTTAAGAGGCTTTCCCCAGCAAAGTGAATTTTGCCACATACTTGGTGCCTTATTACAATACAGACCGTATTCCAATTCCAATTACACTAATGCAAGCTGTGAGTAACTTCATTGTGCTCACTGGAATTACTCTAGATTTACAACAGTGTTATCTGAGATTTACACCTCTATAAATTAATCTGAAATGTGGCCACATGGTCTAGCTGGTTGTTAGCTTAGTAGAAAAAGCATAGTTTCATAAATAGCTGATATATTTCATACTAATTTGGGACCTCCTCACAGCTGCTTATTAACTCATTTATATTAATTTACTACAACAGAAACATGCCCAATTAATAAAAGAGGTAATTCACTCACTGTTCATGATAAGCAAAACTTTTTCCTTGATATTGCACCTATTCCTACATAACATTTATCTCCGTGAAATGTTTGGTGCTATTCCTAACACTGTAAGAAAGGTTGAGGTTTGTTGTATCATGGCATCTTCTTTCTAAGGCTGCTGAAGTAACCAGCTTTTTTCACGTTGGTGACCACACAAATCTGAGCTATGTATTAGAACTGACCTAGTGGGGAAACCCAAAATTGTATGTTTTCAAGGAGCACGGGTAGCGGAAAAGGACTGTAATATTAATTAAAATTGTTACACGGGATTGTCAAATTGTCTCAGCCACCCCTAGATTTCATTAAACATCTCATTTCTGTTTGGGATCTAGAATTTCCACAGCTATAGGAACAAGTAAGACAAGCTACATTTTCTTTTATATAAAATGGATTGCTTTTAAAACTTCAAGAAAATTAGATGTGCCCTCTATCTTTCTTCTTGCACTGTCCATTGGGCTTTTGGCTATTTTTTTCATAGGAGAATTTCATATAATGGAATTTGCAGAAGAAAAATCATGCAAATTATGATTAGACTAAATTAAGCTGTTCTCAGCTCTATTAGTGAGCTAAGGCCAGGCTGAGTTGCCTCCCGGAGGCCTCATTGTTCACTCTTCTAGGCAATAAAATAGTTACTCCAGAGTCATTACTGTATATGAGACAAGTTGCTTGAGCTCCCCTCAATGAGGAACCTGACCCAAGGACTTTATAGCAACAAATCATCCAGTTTCTACACAGATAATTTAACTCCTGTTCTTCTCAGTCCAACAGAGAAATTACAGCAATGTTACTGTAGACAGGTGCTTTCCTAATCTTCATGTGGGGAAAATGTCCTTTCTTAGAGATGGCAGTCATGACACCATATGGGAATAATAGTGTGTCATACTACACATTCTGGTTTATGATACTTGTAACCATGTACTCCAAACCAAAGAAGAAATGTGCACCAAACCCCAAACCTACATTTGGAAAAGAAAATAAGAGTAGAGAAAAAAAAAGTAAACGAACTAAAAAAGTCAGTTCCAAAGGAAATGTGTAACAACAAACACAGATTACTTATCATCACCTGTATGACTACTTGCACAGGTACAAAATTGAGGTCTAATGCTACTGCTTTGATTCTTAGGAATATAGTACATTGTTTTGTCACAGAATAAATATAATGTGAAGAAACAAAATAAAATATTCATCAGCTATAAATTCCTGAAATTTTGAACTTCTTTATTATTTCTTTCATAATGGAATGAATTTAGAGAAATAAGAGGAAGTAAAGAAAGGTCTTTTCCTTTGGTGCTTCAAATGGTACTATGACGCATATTTCACCTTCTGATCCTTAGAGACTGGTAGTAATAGAAGCATGTTTGGATACCAGCAAATTTACTTCTATTTTGTTTTACTGTTAGTGAAGCAATGAAACAACAAAAAAACCCACTCTTCTTTGTCTCACACATACGTGTACAAAACCACAAATAGACCCTATTTAAGTAAGTTAAATTCTTAATGTTTTCTTTTTTTCCCTGAGGTTAGACATCTGGAAGATAGAATGGAGGAATATTACTTTTTAACTTCTATACTTGCTGAAGAAAAAGATGTAGGGAGAGTTCAAGGATGGAAAAATATCTTTAAGTTATACTGTATTGCTGCACAATATTTTGATCTGGATTCTCATTAGTGTTCTAATTACCACTTTTTTGGTTGTTATTATTATTAATTATTATTTTTTTTTAATCTTGTTACTTAGTTTCCAAAGTCAGCTCTACATATCTAGGTACATAAAGTGTTGGAGTTTTTTTCCTGTTTTTTATATTCTTTGCAAAACTGCCTAGATGGCTGCATTCCAACCGCTCCAGAAAACAAGAGTTAGCAAGCACCTAATCAATGTACTGTATCCAAATGCTTAATCTGCTTGCATATTGTAAAGCTTCCACCAACACAGACAAAGTAAAACCTTAGTCCAGGCTATCCATTGGAAAGGTGACAACTCCTGGAGGAAAAATTGCAATTGAAGTTAAAAAAATGGGGCAAACAAAAGCCATTGCAAAAATTACCAAGGGCCACATAGACACTCACAAGATAGATCTGGGATTTCGCAATTATGAACAAATCAGTACTATACCACCTCGTGAAAATAAACAAATCACACTTTGCCTCTTGTACCTTTTCAGGTGGGAAAGAGTTGGTACTAGACAATTAAAAAAAACATTTGCCTGTTCAATTATAATGGTACTTACTCCAGCTTATATGTCATCCCTTGGGTAGCAAGTTTAATTTGCTTGCATAGCTTATGTTAGTTAGCTTGGTGGAATAAACTGTGCCAGAAAAAAAGAAAAAAGTTTTCTCTTTATTTAGTTTGTATAAAAATGTGAATTTTTTGAAAAGAAAAATCACATATGTTATCAGAAAGGGTTTGTGGTATAGATGTGGTACAAATGCTTGTAAAGAGCTTGAAAATATTTAGAAAAATAAAGTTTAAACATTATAATTCTTATATTATGGTCTAAATTGCAACATCCAACATCCTTTATGACTCTGACTTTCTGTTAGACATATTAATTTACTTGTATGATTGCTTTCTCCCCATCTCCACAACAAGGTTAACTGAATATTCCATATACAATAAAGTGTTCTTATTATGCCTACATTATGGCCAAGGAGCTGATACTCAGAGGATGTGATGGGTGGATTTACCATACATCACAGGTATCTAGTTGTGAAACACAGTGCAAACTTCAGAAGATCAGAATATGAGCTTGTTATTCATTGGATACTTAAGGGCCTTAAGTCCAACTACAATTTTCCAAGCATCCGTAAAGTATATTTCTTGACATGCCCAGAAGTCTTGACAGTGCTTAAAAACTTGATAGATTACCTTGTGCTAAGGGTCCCTAAGGAACTACAAACTAAATATTTATCTCCCTGTCTCGTCCATGTACTTGCTGTAGTAGATGTTCCCAGAACAAGCCTGCTAAACCACATTGTGTGCGAGAAACAGCTGCCAGCTGTAGTGCCATCACTATCTCCTAAGAAGGTAATAAGAGAAAAACTGTCATTCATACATGAGAAATTATGTTTAATTTCCTCTTCTCACTGGGGGAATTTAAATGAGTGCCTCTGGAACACTGGAGTATGCAATAGCATGTAGCATAAAATATACACTAGGTTCAGATGGGATATTTTGTCCTCTCAAATCTAATTTAATTTGTACAGAATAATTAGAAAGAATAAAAGTAGCAAGTTAGAGCATGAATACAGGAGTGGGTGCAAACAGGCTTGATCACAGACTGGCTTGACAGTGTGGATATGCTGCTGTTGTGTTTTGTCCCCACAATCACAAGACTCAAGCTGGCCCAACACAGCTGCCACAGGGCACTGAAGAGCTACCTGGATAGCAATTGGTTTCGACTCTACAAACCGCTGCTTATTATACATGCTAGAGAGGCTATCTCACTGCCTACTGTTTACTTAAATCAGAATATATTTTTCAGAATTAAAGAACAGATTTGAATCTCCTAATTACAAACCATTAAGTGATTGGTTATGACTGTCTAAAAGGAAGTTCTTTCTTTGCTTTTTTATTTGTATCTAGGACAGAAAGAGAGAGACTGCAAATTATGAGCAGATGAACTATGTTTTCTTTAGAGTTATGAAAATGTCAAAGCCAATATGTTTAGCCACCAACTAAACAAGGGTGGGTGTCAAAAGGAGAAAAAACACATCACAAGTGCAGGAGTCGCTCTAAAAATCTTAGTCATGCTTAGCCATTCTTAGCCATTCTGAGCCATGACTGCTGCTTACTATAACAGTCATGAAAAATCTGCATATATATGCATATATGTGCCAATTCTGTTCAAAACCTACTGCTTGTTAAGAGGCCAATATATGTGAGAAGATTTTTTTTCAATGTATTCTTTTATGATTTACAGGGGTGATTACTTTAATTAAGATAGAAGATGCCAGGCATCTGTTATAGAATAAGCATTCATGGCAGACCACGTAAACTTTTCTGAGATTTTTCAGGTCTCACAATGTGCCAAGTGCTTTCCTGGAACACACTAAGACTTAGGTACTAGCACACTTTCACCAGAAAAGAAAAAAAAAAAGGATGGATATCAATGACTTACTTTTTGAAACATGGGAAAACACTCACTCAGAACTTGAGTAAACTGATCCAACTGACCATCTCTACATATAATTGTCCTTCAGCGTTGATAGCTAAATCTCTAATTCCAGTGGGGAAAGAACTCACTTGAAAACCTAGACATGGGCTTTTAAAATGTCAAAATATAAAGCTGGGGAAAAAAAAAAAAAACAAAGAAAAAGAAATGAGCTTGCGATTGCTATTTTTGCTGACAGGTTTAAAGAAGAATAACAGTTCTTTTGACCTTGACAATTATCAGTTCCCTATTTGGCTTTTCTTTTTGTGTGTGTGTGTTTTGCCAGGTTTTACAAAGTTTCAACACTAAAGAAGATAAATGACAATGAAGAGTATCAGTTGTCCTGCAGTATTTTCTGCACTGCCCAGGGATTGCACTTGTTTTTAGTATACTCAGCACAGAGATGGGCTATGCTAAGCATTTTATCAAATTTGAAGTCAAGGTGCTGGTGTAATAATAAACTTCTGTGTAATTTGCCTTCTGGCACAAAATTTGTTAGCCAAATATCTTCATTCTTTTTTAGTAAAGCTTTGAATGAAACTGAAAACCTGAGCAAAATTGTTCCTGAAATTCTACTGTTCTAATTTCAATTCAAAGCTATTTTAAAGTAGTTCTCAAGAAAAATAATCAAACGGAATCTTTCTTTTTCAATATTCCTGTCCAAGAAAAAAACCCAAAATTTTAAAACGTTAAAAATAATAAACTGGAAAAATGTATCTGCTCCAATGAGAAATGACTGAAATGCATAAATTGGCCAATAACAGTCTCAAGAAGTTTTGGTTTTGCTGATGCCTTAAACTGTGAAAATAAGATTGAAAGTATAAAACAAGTAAATAAATAAAAAAGATTCATTGAGGATCTGAAGATTATGGGCACAAAGCATCCCACAGAGGTTGTGTCTCCATATTTTATTCCATATGTGCTTTTTTAGATCATATCCAGCTCTGTGCTTTCTCAGATAATTTCAAGCTCTATCCCAAAAGGTTTGACTTCCTATTTAATCCTGAGATTGTTTGCTGACATACTTCAGTATATGCAATATATAAACAGTGTTTTATGGTGTACTAATATCATTCTGGTTAGCTGCAGTACAGGTTTCAAAATATAAAAGACAATTTGAACTGAAACAATTAACACAAAAAAACCAGTTATGATTATAAACTTATTTGAATGGCACACGTATAAACCAGAGAAGAGGCAAATCCAAGCACTATATTGTATGGGCAGAGATGATGCTTCTTACAGGGAGCTGGTACAGTAGATACAAACCAATCTAAATAATTTGCCATGGATCACTGTCTCAAACAGATGAATTTAGCAGTGCTGATGTAAATGCTTCTCTCTGAAACTGATTTCTCTTGTATATCGGAATTTCGTCTGATGTTTACCTCAGTTTATCTGAGGACAACAACTCAGGATCCATTCCTCCAAGAAAGAATTGCATACATTGTTTCAGAAAAAAAAAAAAAAAAGCTCTTTTCTGTGAAAAGATAAATTGTGCTTATGTTTTATATAAGTCTATTTAATTCAGAAATGGATGATCAGGATTAACTGCTGTCCTGAAACTGTTGGAAATCTCCTATAGAACTGCTTTATCAAACCAAATGCTTGGTAAGTTTGAAGGTAGAATGACTTCCATTCTTCTATACTGTGGATTAAAAAATTATACAATTGGCTGATCAGAAAACCGGTACAGGGGCTACCTGAAGGAACAGAGAACGTGAAGAAAACTTTTACTTCCAGCTGAAGTATGGAAATTAGTAGAAAAATATGTACTGATACATTTGTCAGTACAGGAGGAAATGTTTGCTACACTCACCATGCTCTAAACAGATTGCTGTTTAAACACTTTATGAGATGGCAAAACTTGTCAGTATGAATTCCAGGCCAGACTGGGCTTTGGAAGAAAGCTGGGTCTGCTGCCTGTGCAGGTAGGAACTAATCACCGAGTTTCTTGAATGAGGGAAGCTCTTACAGACATAAAACCAGAAGGTAGCTAGGAAAATCTGAAGGTAATATGGAGATGATAGCTGCAGTTGTTAGTGCTTTACCTCTGTATTAGTTTCACTAAATCTTTTACTGTTTTCTGGAACATTGCTGGTTTATGTGTTAGTATATGATATTTATTTGATTGCCGGAAGCTAAAATCACAGTTGTTTCATCTTCCACAGTATAAAATTCACATTCTATCTTTTGCAGACGAGCTAGGCCCACCTCTCACTTGAGCTCATGACAATGTGAGCTCTGAGTCACACTATGTAGCAAAACTACTGTTCAAGTCAGCATAGCTGGGATTCATCTCACCTAACTTCTGGAATGTGATTAATCTGCCCTGGTTTGGATGCCAGCTTTAGGATGAGATGAATCACCTTGTAGTAGTGCCTGTTTTTCTCCACTATCTGCAAAAGAACTCTAGACAACTGTCTCAGGTGCAGATTTCTACTCTGTGGATGGTTAAAGTTAGGTGAGAAGAGCCTCAGTTGAGTTTCAGTAAAAGCTATGGTCAAATGAAGCATATGGAGTGGATTCATAGCCTACCTTTTTTATTGTTCATTCCTTGGCAAAAGCAAAGGTTTCAGCAATATATCTTTTAGCTAGGTTTTTGGAAGAGGTACTGGTAAAAAAAGTAAAATTTAATAATAATAATATACAATCTTTTGTGTGCAATAATGGGTGGAGTTTTTTCCCAGAAAGTTGTCAGCCTTAAGTAATTGTCAACAAGGGCTTAGAGTTCTGAAGGAGGATCAAAGAGAGTTGACATACTGCTTAAAATGTCTATGCTTCTAATACATCACAAGCATTCAAATTGCAGTGACTACAACACATTTAATACCATACCATGGTATGTAATAGGCATTAAGTTAGGCCATTTGGTTTCATTTGGGGGTTTTGATTTAGAACATTCCAATTTAGGCATTGCCATGCTCAACATTGGTTTCTAATCTAGTTGAATTGCTTTATTCTTCATACTGTAATTCTGTTTTTCCTACAGTATTTTGACCTATAGTGAGACCTTACTGAAAGAATGGAAGTTGAGGGGATTGAAGGATTCTCAATCAATTGACAGATTGCCATCACCTTCCCAGTAATTTTCAATTCTTATGCATGAATCTCATGTCAGAGCATAAATATATTTATCACAAAAAATGCAATAAAATTCATGGCTAGCAGAATGCATGCATAATAGTTTTGAAATTTTGTAACGTATAGAAGTTGTTACCTAGAGAAAAATGCTTTGTATATGGTGCATGTAGATATGCGTATGTACACATATACGTGTGTGTACATATGTTTATATGACTGAATGGTGGAGGGAAACAGACATTTTTTAAGAATTACAAATGAATGTTTAATCTTGACAAGACTTTATTTGTCTGAGAATCAAATCCCTTCTCTGGTTCCTCAAAAAGCCAATTATCAGAAAGATTCTCTTTCGCTCCTGTTATTAACAGATAGACATTGATGACAGTTTAACTTGGTTTCAGCACAGCTCTTGGGCCACAGCTGCTTACCAGGCAATCTAAGTACCACTTGAACGCTCAGTTGCAGATTGACCTTGTGGTAATTGAGGTTATGAAAAGGCTCTTGTTCTCTAAAATCTCAAATGAACACCTCTCCCTCTGGGAGACAGCAGGATATTCAGCAATAGCAGCCCTGCTGAACCTGCAAGATTCTTTCTGCCACTCTGGTCAGTGCTGAGGTCAGGATGAGAAACAAATGTCTATGATGGAATATGAGGAATGTAATGGAGTAGCGAGTTAAAATGAAATTATTTGGACTGCAATTATTTTCCCTTAATCGTGCCCAATTCTGCCACCCCCAAAAGACCTGCTAAGTATTTGAAAACATATTTTTAACACTTTCCTCACTTGTATCAAAAGAAGTACTTTGTGTTCTTATTCTTGATTTTTTTATAATTTCCCTTTAAAAAAAAAAGAAAAAGAAAAGAGGGAGTAACGACAGGTTAACATCAGATTTCTTTAAAGCACAGAACCATCTGGTGAAGTTATCAATGATTTCACTTTGCAGCATGAGCCAGCATTTGAACATCTCTGCCCCTGCCAGTAATTTTAACATTACAGTCAATGGGAATTAATATTGAGGTTTTCAGAGGAAATGGGGGTAATTAAACTAATCATGAGAAGTACACAACAATTATTGTTATAATTCTAGATCTCAAGCCAATTAGCTATACTAGCCATTTTCTTTGGCAAAAGCTCACAGTTTTTGGTAGCTAAATATAAGATTAAAATTAGTGATAGCAGAACATCTTTTAGCTACTCATCTTAGGCTAGGACTTTTTGTTTTGATTTTAAGGCTGTATACAAAATTAAGAGAAGGCTTCCAGTGGCAGAATCCTTTTTAACAACTTAATACTCATTGGGCATCCCTACTGGAGATACAAAAAGGGGTTAGCTACAAAGAAGCCAAAGACAAACATGGATGCTCAATGTGAAAATCTGACCAATGAACACCATGAATTTAACAGGCTGTCTTGTCTGAAGATTTTGGTGGCTGTAACAAGTGTATTTGTGTACATTAATCATGTACACTTAGACAGGTGAAGTTGTCACTGTAGAGAACCAAACCTAAGCATTTGTCTCAAACATTCTGAGTACTGGTACAGGAAAGGTATGGTGGGAGGAGAGGGTCCTGCGGAGGTGGGGCAATGCTGTTCTGAGCTAACTTCCCTCCACACCTTGAGTCTCGTGCTCGGTCTCCCCTCCCGCCACAGCTCATTTCCCAGAGAAGGGCTGGCTGTGCATGCACGAACAAAACAGCCCAAAAAATCTAATTTACCTTAGAGATGTGCACTGGGTTAAATATAAAAGAGAGTAGATCAGGCTCCCTTGTTGTCTTTTTCCTCTCTTTTTCTGTCATTGTTTGCCCCAGCTCCGGACCATCCACATGGCAGTACCAACACAAACACAACTGAAGTGGGGATTCAGACCAGACAGTCGACAGATCCAAACACCTGCATCTAGAAGAGAGGTGAGCAGCTGTGAAGTCATTTCTGTTCCTAATATCCCCCATACCTATCCCAAATTTCTCACATCAAAACTTAACATCAGTATGGGAGCCCAATTTACTAAAAACAAAGCTGAACTATACAAAAGCATGAAGGCATTAATAAAAGAGAGAGAGAGAGAGCATCCCTTGAATAAAAACTCTTTAAAATCACTGACAAAATGGATCTATAAAAATGATACTGCGCCAGAATACTTAAATTATTTGGAGTAGGTGAAAATAAGGGCTTTGCTGGCAGATGCTGCTTTTAAAGGAGATAAACTAGCAATCAAAGCATTAATCAATTGGAAATCTATTTTCAACATTTTAAAAAAGACTGTAAATGAAGAGGGGACTCACAGTCGATTAATGGAAAAAGGGTCAGATCAAGAACTAACATGGGGAATGGAGAAAATAATAGATGCCCCCTTACAAAATGAATCTCAAAATGGCACCAATGTTAACTCACAATCTCAAAACGGTACCATTGTTAACTTACAAAATGGCTGCTCTTGTAACCTTCAAAGTGACTGTGACCTTGACTTTCAAAATGGCTGTGCCCAGACCCAAAATGGCAGAGTACTAACATCCACCAGCCAGCCAAAAGTAAACAACACCCAAAATGGCGACTTAGCTCCATCTACTTCTGGGTCACCAGAAGTAAACAAAGGACAAAATGGCGGCACGCATCAAAACCCTGCCGCTACCTTAACGCCTTCAACTGAAAGTCATTGGAACCCAAGCAACAATGAAGAGCACACAACACCTGACCTAAAAATCATCACAAAAGCAGTCCAAAAAATATAAAAGCGACTAGAACAACGGCAGAAAAAAATGAACGGCCCTAAGGGAAAATGAAGTGGAACTGAACCATGCGCATCACAACCCCTCAACAAACACGAAATAAGGAATGACAGGGCAGAGCTATTCCTTACATAAACCACCAAAATTAAAGTCAACATAATCAAAACAAAACAGAACCAAAACCTCTTTTCATGTTTTCTTTTTCCTCACAACATGAATTATAAGTTAAATACTAATATAGTTTCTTATTTAATGTTGTATGTTTAAAAAGTAATTAAACTGTTTTTCTTCTTATCTAATGATTTAACATTAAAATAATTCATAACTTTATTTAAAACGAAAGTTTACATTTTTGTTAACATATTTGTTGAGTTTATTCCTAAAAGCAAAAACTGGCTACCAGAAATGGACAGAGAACACCTCAGACCCCAAAAACAGCTTTAGCTGATTACTTACAAAAAACACTGAGTTTCAAACTGTGTTGGCAAATTGTAATAGTAACTTATTTGTATATTTTTGAGTTCATATCTTTTTATCAATGTAATAACTAACCTCACAACTTAATTTCAATATATGCAACCCTTCCTCCTCCTACAATATATCTACTAATAAAAAGAAAAAAGGGGAAGTAGAGGAAGACAAAGCCAAATAATAGCCTTGCAAATTGTTTTATAACAAAAATAGTTTTTTACGCAAAATTTTATATTTTTGAATAGATATTTCATCTTTGAGTGATAGAAAAGTTAATATGTTTTTGAATTTTAAATTGAAAATTTATGTTTTACAGAAAGTATGCTTACCAAAGCAAAATAACACATAGTCTTATATTATCAATCCAAAGGGTAAGGAACAGAAATGCTAATTCGTCAATTTAAAACCGGAAAACACAATACAACAAACTTAAAAGTATGTTTGTATGAATGATGGTGACCACCGTGAAAATTTGTGTGTGTCTCAGTTTGAAGAGACTGGAATGTTTGCTAAAGAGAATGAGTTATGAGACAGACCAAACTCCTCTCTCTCTGCAATTGTAAATTCAAAATTAAGAGGCTTTAATCGAGAAAGTGTGGAAAAAAACAGAAGAAATAACAACCCTTTATTAAAAGATATATGTATGTTGGCAAGAACAGTAACAGAACACAAAAATAACTAGACAATAGTCCTGTACCCAAAAGTCCCCTTCAAACAAAAGAAAAAGTCTGAATACTTCTCTGTCTTTTAGCGCAGTTCTAGTCACGGTTGGCAGGGGGTGCTGTTGGATCACTGCAGTACTCTGTGGTGGTCGGCAGGGGGCGCTGTTGGGCTCTGGTGGTCACCGTGCGGGAAGGGGGGTCTGGGGGTGGTCTCAGGTCGCGGGAGAAGCCGAAAAGAAAATGGGGACCCTTCCCCCAATGGGAGAAGGGGGAAAGGAAAACAGTCCACCCCCACGAAACTCATTTGTTGTCCCAAGGCTCCTCCTTTCTTCTCCCGGTGAGCACAAAAACTCTCCGATGAGAACACAGCAGGTCCGGGCAGGAGACAAAAACAACCTGCCCGCAAGTCGAGGCCAATGGTCAGGGCTGACCAGGGCGGGAAACCAGAAAGACCAGTCTCCAGGCCTCCTCTCCAAAAGCACACACACAAGACCTCCTGTCTCCATCCCAGAGCGAGAGCTCAGCAAAAATGGACTTCTCCCTTCTGAGGAGAGCCAGCCACCCCCCCCAAAATTCCTCCCCTCTCCCCCTAGCCTCTGATGGGCCATCTGTTAGGAATGCGGCTTTGCCGGCTAGATCTTTTGTAAAGCTAATTGACTCCCTCCCCCCTTTCCATTCAAACTCCGTCTTACCTACAGTGGGGGCAGGGGGAAGAAAAATTCTCCCCCTCAGATTTCTAACCTATAACAGTGTGAAAGTGTGTGTGTGTGTGAACTTGTCACAACAAACACTACCTCAAATACACTGTCTTATGTTCATATATTTTCTAATACCGTAAACAAAACTTTCTTTACAAATTGAGTTAAAATATTTCAAAGTTACTTATTGTTACAGCTCAGAATTACCTGTTTTCAAACTTATATTCATGATTTGCAAATCCCTGAACCTAAAAAATAAAAATCTCTGATGAATCCTCTGGGTAAACTCCAGAATGAATTCTCAGGTGAGGTGCCTTCCACTGAATATCTGATGAGTCCCCCAGGTGAGCTCCAGAGTGAATTCTCAGGTGAGGAGCCTCCCACTCAAGAGAGAGGCCCTCTACAGAATTCCCAAGAGGGTTTCTTCCCTTGTGGGCTCTAGAAATACTTAAGGTCAGATTTGCAATTCCTGGAGTCTTGAGTGACTCCATTAAAGTTACTTGTTTTAATTCGGAATCCCTGGAGACGTAGAATCTCCTGTCAGACTGCAAATCACAGAGACTTAGAGCCTCCAAAAGTCCATGGGATGGATGTTGCCAAATCTCTGGATTCAGGGCAATACCCAGAGACCTAAAGTCTCAACCATGGTTTGCAGCCTGGAGATCTTGAGTCTCTGTTGCACTATACCCTTCCGGTATAATGGCCATGGCATCTATTGCACTATACTTATCAGGTATAGTGACTGTAGACCCATCAAGTCCGTAGCAAAATATTTTCTTTTTCTCTTTATTTACATAATTCCTTATTTCTTTATTTACATTTAATATTATTTTTAAAAAAATATATTTTATATTTTAATGTATTCCCATAACCATTCTCTGTTTAATTTCATATTTGAAAATAGATTCATAAAAGTTTTTCTAAGTCTACTTTTTTTTAGTAAACAAGGCAAGGGGACATGTTGGAGGTGAGGAAATGAAGATTGAAAATCAAGCACCAAATTCAACATTCTTCCTGACTTTATAAGTGGATATGGACTTTTATGGACTATTGGAGAATATGCATTTTGGATTTTATGTTGTGTTTCATGTTTTATTGTATTATTCCCTTTTCATTGTACCCCAGTTTCTTACAAAATCCCTTTTCTGTCCCTTATGCCCTTGAACCCTGTTCCCTGATTGGTTAGATTTTACTGCATTGCAGTGTTTTCCCTATATGGTTTTACCAACCCCTTGTTTTACATACTCCTCCCATGCTCCTCCCTAGTTACACCCCTTTTCTAGTTGGTTCTCTGCTCACCCTTTATAAGGCAGGAGCCGTGTTAATAAAAGAGCCATTTTGTTCTCACCCACGAAGTGTGCGAGCCTCTTTTCCCTTCATAACCGTCAGTCTGGTGTCTTTGTTCAGCCTGATGAGGATTTGTAATGAACATCACATCCCCTACGAGTGGGTCATGACAGTCACTATCTTGTATAACTAAGAGTTTATTTGTAATCAATTATTTCAAAAGATCGTGTGACCAAATTTTGTTGTGAATCGTTAATTTCATTTATCAGCCTTACCCTCTAGATTATATTTTCAGACAGTCTTATGTCATAAACTTTAACAAAGATTTGCTTGGAAGTATGTATTATTATTCAGTTTAAAGCAAAATTAAAAAAAAATCAATGGGAAAACAAGAATGTAAGGATCAAACCAGCTGGATATCATGGTGCCTAGGATACAAAGCAAGTAGTTGTCTTTCCATCCACTACAGCTGCCTCCATATGGCCAAGATATTTGTTTTGGTTTAGGTTGGGTTTTTAATGCAAAATGTTGCCCCACTGACCCTGCATTTAGACCGCAATAAGAAATGACACCCTGAACTCCGGTGTCAGACCTTGGAGGATGTAATTTCCTTTGCCTTCTGAGCTCAGCAGAAAACAGATGCCACAAACACCTTCTTCTCTCATTCTTCTGCCTGCCTTCCCTCATATTTTTCAGTTAAGGTTTTGTGAAAGGTTAGTCTGGGCAGAAGTTTTTCTAAATGGAGAATACAGTGTTGGTACACCTGTGTGTGTGTATGGACCATCACTGAAATATTTCAAGAGAACAACCTTTTTTTCAGTCTTCTTGCAGGAACAAAAGAATTTTTTCTGTTACATCATGCTCCATAAGCTGATGTTGACATAACTGATATTAAAATCCATTCCAAGTCCACTGAATGTGGACAGATGCCAATTGTTTTGTTGGAGGTGGCCTTGGTTAAGGGATTTCAGTTGTTTCCAGCAGAAGTATAAGTAGGTTGATTGCAGATATATTGTTATAGAATCATAGAATCATAGAATCAGAATAAGCCAGGTTGGAAGGGACCTCATTAAGTCCAACCCTTGATCCACTACTGCCATGGTTACTAGGCCATGGCACTAAGTGCCATATTTTTAAGTCTCACCTTAAAAACCTCCAGGGACAGAGAATCCACCACTTCCCTGGGCAGCCCATTCCAATGCCTGATTACCCTCTCTGTAAAGAATTTCTTCCTAATATCTAACCTAAACCTCCCTTGGCACAGCTTACGATGATGCCCTCTTGTCTTGCTGACAGTTGCCTGGAAGAAGAGACCGACGCCCACCTGGCTACAACCTCCTTTCAGGGAGCTGTAGAGAGTGAGGAGGTCTCCCCTGAGCCTTCTCTTCTCCGGGCTAAACAATCCCAGCTCCCTCAGCCTCTCCTCATAGGATTTGTGCTTGAGTCCCTTCACCAGCCAAGTTGCTTTTCTCTGGACCTGTTCCAGCCCCTCAATATCCTTCCTGAACTGAGGGGCCCAGAACTGGACACAGTACTTCAGGTGTGGCATCCCCAGCGCTGAGTACACAGGAAGAATCACTTCCCTGGTCCTGTTGGCCACACTGTTCCTGATCTAGGCCAGGATGCCATTGGCCTTCTTGGCCACCTGGGCACACTGCTACTTTTTTCCTAAGTGAAAGGGCATATTACC